ACCGCTGTCCCACCGGGGGACAAACTTGGAAGCCGAAAAATATAAAATTATCTTAATTCTATCTTGAAGGCTGAAAGAAATGAAATTATTTTAATTCTTTCACTTATGTTATTTTAACAAAAACTTTCCATCAATATTCGAATTTTTAAGAGACTGAATAGAGTCCAGCAAAACTATCTGTAAAGCAAAATAATCAGAATTAATTATTTTGTATTGTTTCGGTGCAGTGTTTTTTGTTATTAAAAACACTTATTTAATTCATAATTCGGTATTTAACTGAGATAAAATAAAACCTTTCATCTTAACGTTTCAGGATTTAAAAAGCAAGCGTAATAGAAACGAAATCTTAATATATTTACAAACATAACGAACAAATATATTCTCTGATTAGATCAGTTAACAATAAAGTCAACAGTAAAGTGACAGTCAATGATAAATAAACAAGTAAGTCTTCGGCCATACATCCTAAAGTTCGTCATGTTTCAGTCAGCTCGTACAGGTCAGTGAGAAAACATAAAACACGAATAAGTGTAATATACTGTACATACCATTTGAATAAACTTTGAATGGAATAAAATACAAATCACAAACTTGGTGATCGTATTAATTCCAAACTTGAGGAATATAATCTCTTCTCGACATACTTAATTCGATGTTTATTGGTTAGTTTTGATGACATTATCACAATAAAGTTATAAACATTATTTCTATACATCATCCGAAAATGTGAGAAAATTAGGTTATAAGGCTATTAAAACTCCACAGTCATAAGCTAGGGATAACGGATATTGAATAAAATAGGGGGAAGTAAATGCAAAAGCTAGAACAAAATCTGTAAGATTGTCATGAAATCAACACAGTTCTGTACGAATTAATATGAAAATAGCATCAAACTAATAACGATTAGAACTGCGTCTTAAGTTATGAAATCAACACAAGCTCTGTATGAGTTAATGTGAAAACAGCATCAAACTAACAGAGATAGTAACTGCATCTTAAACCATGAAATCAAAGCAGCTCAGTATGAGTTAATGTGAAAACAGCATCAAACTAACAGAGATAGTAACTGCATCTTAAACCATGAAATCAAAGCAGCTCTGTATGAGTTAATGTGAAAATAGCATCAAACTAACAGAGATAGTAACTGCATCTTAAGCCATGAAATTAAAGCAGCTCTGTATGAGTTAATGTGAAAATAGCATCAACCTAACAAAGATAGGAACTGCATCTTAAGCTATATTTATATATTACATTTCACTTTATCACAAACACAAAAAACACGATAGCTAGTGAACAAAGAAATTCTCACAAAATCGAAATTTTGAGAAAAATAAGATGAAAAGGGTAGTGAGATTGAAACACACACAACCACGCTGATTATCCCACAATTTAAATAATACCAACAAAATAAAAAATAGACAATGAAGCCACTAAAGAGTATGGAGAGTTGTAAACATTGGTCTTTTGATAAATAACCTTAGAATTACTTTATGTTCTCAAACACTGATTAAAACATATTTTTACACCCACCTTATTGAAGGTGATTTTTTTTTAACTAGGATGAATCTGATTCCCAATCTGACGTATTTGTTTAACAGAAGTTTTTATATAAAATACACAAAGATCGTAAGGCTAAAGGCAGATGTTTAAAACTTGACACTAATCATTCTTTATACTATATAGTTTTGGATAAATAAACTAAGCTTAGTGAGGAGATCTATCATTCTTGTTTTGAAATTGATCAACACATTATACATAAACTCTGAAAGAAAGAAAGTTAAATGAAAAACACTGTGACTTTGGAACCAATAGTATTTCAATACTCGATTATTAAGCTTGGCACTATGAAGATGCTTGAATTAATTCTGGGTATTCCAAACATAAGCAGTATTCTATGGAATAAATTAAACGAGTCATGCTACATGCAGCTTGAACTTACCCGGACATTTGATATATAATTAATTTGGTATGAACTCAAGTCAAAATGAAAATTAATACTTAATAAAATGGTTATACAATGCTCGTACATCTTAACATAAAACGAGTGGAACTTAGTTTCATTGTTTTATGGCTAAAAGCTTGGTTTTTTGCTATATAGATAGATAGATATGTATTAACGTAACCGAATTAAGAGCATGTAATATTCCATTCTAACAGAAGCAGTATTCGTCGTATAATAAATAAATTAATTATTTTTGAATTCGAACGTTTTCTTACGTGAAAAAATCCAGCTTCATTTCATTTTTCTAGCTTATATTAATTTCAACGATTTGTCAGAGCTTAGACTCTAGCTTTTGAATGATCAACAGTATTGGTTATGTAAGAACATTTTCAATATTATTTCAATTACATTACGATTACAATACGTAAAGTTTTAGAAAAATGCTCTAAATTTTTAAATCGGCTATGTTTCAAAGAATTTCATCAGGACAAGATTATTGATTCCCTTCGACACAGCTTTGACATTAAAAGTGCTTGGTTACTAGTTATTCTTCCTATGGACAAGAAGTACAATGAAACTTAATCCAAATTGAAAGTTACAAGTATATTATATTAAAATTAATAACTCGTTAACTGTTACTACTTACACTTCAACATACTAAATAGCTTTTGACGTTACATTTCTTTATATGTAATAAAATCTATAGATAACTTGTTTTAGGTTTTCATCCGATAAGAACATCCATCTCAACTATTCTCCAACACTGTAAATGAAACAAAGTAAACTTACCAGTAAGTTGAAATAAGAGTGAAGTCACGCACAAACTCGTTAATGCGGTTCCTGTAAGTTTGTTCATATCACTCAGTGTATTCGATTTCATTATCTAGAGAATAACGTGTATCAGTAAAACTCTCACTTGCTCATATAAAATTCACAAGTAATAGAATAACTAACAAACTCTGGCCAAAAAATCAACAAATCGTTTCCTAAGCACAACGTTTCCCTGCTCTTTCAGACACGGAATAGAAGAGTCCCCCAACCAAAACTGGTATTCTTATCAGCAAATCAACGCCAAAGGCATCGAGTAGTAGGGACAGTAGCTTTTGAGATTTTCAGCAACTGAGAAGAGTGGTTGTCATATTTGTACGTGTCCAGAAATCCTCTGGTCTTTAGTCTTTCACACGTGCCAGTAGTAGAACGTGACCAGTGCCAGAGCTCCTCAGACAATCCACGAGCGTTAGACAGCTGCGGCCTTGATGCTTGTTATGCGATTGTTCGGAATGAAGGGACTTATATATCTCTGAAGAGAAACCCGCTAGTGATCACGTCACATAACACATTAGGGTTTCTGGTCGATATGTGCGTGTAGAAACTAAGCAACTTTCTTCACTTAACCCATAAACTGAAAAGTGCTGCTATGTGGCGCCCCTCCGTGGTTAGTTTAGGCTTTACTGTATGATACTAGTGTTATGCGCATAAAACATTTTTAAGAGGGTACTTAAAATAATTGTACCTATGCCAAACGTCATGAAGACAAACAAACTTTCAAAGAACACGCAGGTAAGTCAAGCATACTTTTAGGCCTAAGTCGGAGGATAAAGATAATATTTATGTATATATATATATATTAAACTTGCTAAAATATGTAGAATTTATACAGAATTTATACACTTGATTACCAAACCTAATCTAAGTATTAACGTAAACATAAATAGCAAAAAATATATTAATAATCCTAACTTTTAATCAATTGGAAGTGGTGAAAAATGGTTTGTTAACGCATGATTCATACTTAATATTCTAGTTAATTTTGTCCGTATTTTCGTGTTGAAAGTAATGTTTTTTTTTCAATTTCTGATGTAATACATACATGTTTTACTTATTATTTATTTTTCTTTAAGAAATATACAACCTTTTTTATCTCAAACTTCTTTAACTACAGGTAGCCTTTAGTGAACAATTTTACTGCAAATATTACATTTTAATTTTTGATTATTATAGCCTCTAGATATGCAAATTTGTTCACCTTAATGTTCAGTATGTAGTCTCTTTTAAAATTTCCTTCAACATGTTCAGTCAATATGTAGTCCTTGTTAAAATTTCCTTCAACATGTTCAGTCAATATGTAGTCCTTGTTAAGATTTCCTTCAACATGTTCAATCAATATGTAGTCGTTGTTTAGATTTTATTCGACATGTTCAGTCAGTATATAGTCGTTGTTTAGATTATTTTCAATATATTCAATCGATATGTAGTCTTTGTTAAGATTTTCTTCGACATGTTCAACCAATATGTAGAGCTTGGTTAAACTTTTATTCAATTTAGCCAGTACGTTTGTCGAAATAACTCAGATTTGTTCAGTTTATCAGTTAGTATATAGAGCTTGTTTTGTGGGTCAATACAAAGCAACTAATTACATTTATTAAGGCTAGTTAGTCAGTAAGTAAATATTAGTCAATAAATATCCACAGATCAGTTAGACTATTGTAGTAGTCAGTATGTAGACTTTGGTTAAATTATTATTAAAGTTAGTCAGTCAGTATATAAAGTTCATTTGTGGTTGAACAGTTTAATTGTGCAAAGTCTGATTAACTTTTGTTGAGCTTAGTGGGTCGATAATTTTATGTGAAGCTAACACAGCTTTGTTAATTTAGACTAATGATAATCACATAGGATTAGCGACGTATTAAAACGCAGGCACATTTACTGTATTTGCTACAGTTTTATGAATATGTGTAAGCTTAACTTTGAACAGATGCTGTTTTATTCAAACTAAGTTCGTGTGACGTCTTACATTTTAAGGTATATCGATATTTATACTTAGCAGTTAGGTGACGTATAAAAGATTTTTTTCGACAACGAACAGAGATTTTTTGCGACGACGATATACTTATGACATTGGCATATAATTTCAATTTCATTAGACAGTAGATTTTTAAAGTACTTGGAAGAACTGTTACAAAAAATTATTTCAAGAATATTACACTTATCGAACGATGCGGAATTGATTCGTAGATATTTATAAAAGGAAGGCGTAACCAAACTGAGATGTTTTACATGAAAATAACATTTATTTTTCCTAGAATCTGAGACTGAACTGGTTGAGTCATATCCACTTCTTTTATTTCTATAGAATATCAATGTTTCCTTCATGAAATGTTCACTGGTAAAATAAATATACACAGAAGAAATGAGAACGAAAATACGCTTATATTGAACTGCGTTCTGAACGCATAACACGTATATATATAAATTACACGGGAACTGAATGTTGGTGTTTTGAACCAGCTTAGAAAAAAACGTTGTTGTAAAAAAAAAAGTACATACAATAAAAGACAACACGTAATATCACAACCCGTACCACTTAAAAACAGATTTATTCATGTCATTTGGAGGAGGGCGTACATCTTCAGGTACATAAAAGAAAAAAACGCCTTGTTAATTGATTTTACGTAGGGTATTACCTCCTCATGGTCATGATTTTGAAAAGTCCAAACAGTTGCAAGCATGTTTCCTTGCATGTAATCTTATCTATTGTCTTTAATATCAATTGACTCTTTAACGCGCAGGCCAGTAAATATTCATGCAATATTTAAAAAAAAATTAAAACATTATTGTATTTTCCTAAGCTAGTAATATTTCAATATATTTATGTTATTGACAAGAAAAAAAGTCATCATTTATTTCTTAACAAAATATATTATGTGGCGCTCGTCATAATAACGCAATATAATTTTAGATAAGAGTGTATATATCTACAGCAACGAATAATTATAAACGCTATATCTAGGAGACGCCATTGAGAGCTTCACCCGATGAAGATTTACTCTGTTAATTGGACAGTTTGCTTGAAAATTATACAGAAACGAAAGAAGCTTTCAAAATGGACAGTTACCCATCATCAACTTTATCTTAAATAGACAGGTCTTTAACGTAGCATAGAGTGGAATAAGTAAAACCAATTTCATATCTAATTAGATAAATTATTAAGTCTTTATAACAGTTTTGAAATGCAGTCCTTTCGACTGAAGGTAGCAGTGTAATAAACGCGTGAAATAAAAGCATTAGGAAGAAGTGAGTTGGAAGAGGAAATATTATGTTACGTATTGGTGTAATAAAATAATACTTTTCTCTATTAATCAGTCTTCTTAAAGCCTTATAGTGCGGCCTAGATGAATAATATTACTATTACAGATATGATTTTGCTAAACGTGGATCATTGAGAAACTAATTTTGTACTTGTGATAAAATATATTTATTTTACAATAAATGTATTCAGTGCTAATCACATTGGCTTGAAATTAATTCGTTTGTTTGTTTGTTTGTAGTTAAGCACAAAGCTACACAAAGGGCTATCTGTGCTCTGTCCACCACGGGTATCGAAACCCCTGTTTCTAGCGGTGTAAGTCCGCAGACATATCGTTATGACATTGGGGGGGGGGGCATTTATTCCTTTAATTGATGGCTTTGGAGAATATTGCCCAATTATTAAAAACTCAAGAAACTTAACGTTATGTTTCTTAAAATTATTTAAAAAAATACAAAATTCCTACTACTGTCAAATCATATAATATTCAGAATAAAAAGGAGACTCGACTGGAATTACCAGAGTAGCAGGATTTATGCATTTATTTTGTGAATCGCATTCTTCACAGAAGTCGGCTTAAGAATAAATAATGAAGGAAACAAAGCAATGCTCATTTAATAACGACAACGACTAAGCAGGTCAACACCCAACTCGAGATATCTTCAGCTTCAAGTGTTTAAAGTAAATACTGTCTCATTAGGCCCTGCGTAGATATATGAAACGAGTCTCAACCATTTAGTGAGAATACTTATTTAATAATGAAGCAAGCCATTAGAGAAGCGGGCTGTTGGAATATTCACACTGATGTTTATTTTTACTAAGTTACCCAAGCACAAAGTAAATCAATGAAGTCAAGTCGTAGCCGAGAGCAGAGTTCACGTATACGTTAGAGAAATAATTATATTTGTCTAAATGAAACTTGTGGCTTGGATCAATAACTGAAAAGTTATTCGGTTCAAAGCACGTTCTGCATGCAGCCCGAGCTCTAGTTTAACTGAAAACACTAAAATTTTATAAATGTGTATATAACGCCAATAAGACATGGACAAGGTTGTTAGGAAATAATTAATTTGGTGACAAGGCGAGAATGAATGGTTATGAGTCTGAGGATTTATTGCGTGATGGTGGGTATTCTATTTGTTCTCAAGCTCTATATATCTTTATTAAATTTTCGCATTTTATTACCACTTCAACAGAATACCCTTTTCGTTCTGTCATTTTGGTGTTCTCTTTCTTATTTCTATGTATTTTCACTCTTAATATTGCGTGTTTTTTGCCTATTTTGTCATTACTCTCAGTTGTTTACGTCGAGCTTAATAACTTGTGTTCTATTAAGTCTCTTGATTTATCTAGCTTGAATAATGGTTGCTCTTAACGTGATTATTGCTTTTGATTGTATTTGTATTCCTTTACATAAACATGTTAGACCTCATCATATCTTTTACAAGTACCTACCTAACTAAAATTGGTATGTGGTCACCCGTGCAAGACCTATACCAGCATCAACGTATAACATTTCTAGGGTGCTGCTTTCATCCTATAAGTGCTTTTGCCATTAACATATTAGACAGTTTTTATTAATACAATTCACGTTTCGAAATCCTCTTCTTTAAGATAATATAAAATAAATATATCATATTAAATCCCTTAATTGACCTCATTGTTATTTTTGTGCCTTAGATGAAGTTATTTTATTCTTACTAATATCTGGGATGCAACTGCTCTCCGTGTAGTTAGTATAATATCTGAAATGTATTTTCTTTAATTTCATTTATCTTCTGTAATAAAAATGATAATATGTTAGCGCAAAAATAACTCTATTTATCCCATTACCAAAGTAAAAGCACTTTTTGCTGGGAGGGAGGGGCAAAAGTACCGAATTTTTGAGTAATACTCGTCGTAACGTCCAGACTGTGTTATAAGAAGTTTGTTTTCTTTTTTCTATTTTTGAAAATGTGACTGACAAATATGAATGTCTGAACAGCATAAGCAGTAATGAAAACACGCAAGCGATATTCATGCAGGAGTCACAACTAACAAATAATGGTCATCAGATTAGTGCATTTACTAACGGTACAAAACATTATTATCGAAAATACAAAAGGAAAACAAACAAGTATTTTGAATGGAAGTCCTTTACTTTACGCAGAGCATTTCACTTTGTTTTCGTGTTGCTTTACAGTTTATGAATGTACGATTGTGAAATATTGTTCCAAATGTCTTGCATTACTTCCCACAATTCAGCCAATTTGTTTGATCGACCT